TGCAGAGAGGATTTAAGGGACCCGAAAGGTGATCCACTCCAGTCCAATGTTGATTTGGTGATTCCGACGCGCTTTCGTGAAGGGTAGTAACATCCCAACCAGAAGGGGTTGAACCACTTTGACGAGCCATATTATGCAACACTATTTACAACCACAACATTCCAATGGTTTCACTTCCCTCAGGCTCATTCCTTCTTCTCACCTGTTCGGGCCACCGCATTCCATTAATACAAACATATTGGTTTTAATACGAAACGAATATTTTGTACTTCAACTTTCGTAGTTCAACGACGAACGACAATAATCGCGCACTATCGCACTTTTCAAATGTAAAAGTTCATTCAACACATTGAAGATTCAGATTCAGCCCTTAGTGGACAGTTTTTTTTTTCACCAAAATCAGATGCATATACACGAACAGAGACCAGGTAGTAAACATTCAGCTTTCAGTGTCGGAACAGGTAACTTCTTGAGTCAATATCAACCCCACAGGTGAAACGCATTCCGTACCGCGTACTGCAAATGTTTTATTAAGATTTTCAGGAGCAATCACAGATCATCCAGTTAGAAAAAGCGGGTTACTAAAAGTGATAAATCGAGAACAAACAGCAATGCTTGAGGTAATTGAGGTACGCTAATGGTTAACGAAGAAACAGGTTTTAAGTTGGGCGACTTCAATGGCAGGTACGAGAAGTAAAAAGTACCGATACTTATAATTCCAAGAACCGAATTGTTCGGTTCCTAAAGCTTCTTGATTCAATAAGAGACTGATCTCTAAAGTCTTCGAATACATCTCTGCGAAAACGTACACGCACTTACGCAGTTAAAATTCTTTTCATGGGTACCGCATTCCATTTTCTTTTTGGTTTCAAACGAATTCTTATATAATCGTAAGAAGTTGTTTAATATTCTTATAAAGAACTAAATATCACATTACGAATTGTATCCACAAAGTTTTTGTCTGTCTGCCTGTATATTTGTGCGGAATATTCTGGGATTCGATTACGATAGGGCATCAGACGGGAGGGGGGAGTTAAAGCTTGTTCATTAATAAATTAAAGAGACTATTGCTAACTACTATGGTTACGAAAAAAATCACCCGGGAAGAAAACCCGGGGAAGAACCCCGACAAATTTTTTCTCGGAAAAACTGCCCCAGGACGAAGCTTTTCTCGATAGCAAATAGCAAATATTCGAAAAAATATTTTAAACTAAACCTATTACAACTTTTCCACTTTAAATTTAAAGCTAACGTCATTCACAAAATGACTATTATTGTATATTTTTATTTTATTGTTAACCTCTGATACTGACCTTTTTAAAATACGTTGAATATACCACAAGTAAATTTGTATATACCTGATATGCATTTTTTTTAAAAGTCTGCTTTTTATTTTGCCTATTGCAATTGGTTCCAAGTGATATAAAGGAAATCTATTTGTTTAAAAATAAAGAAGTATTGCCTAATTTCCTAGTTTCCTCTTGTAATCTTCTTAAAACAAAGGTGCAATTAGCAATAATATTCTTTGAATTATTTCTTTAGACTTTTGTAACTGCGAATTTAATAACGAGGGGTGGGGGACTTATCTCTGGTGGAAAAATCATCGAGAAAAATTTTTTAAGGGCTTTTTTTCGAGGGATCTTTTCTAGATTCAATTGCTATAATCCTTTTGATTCCCTACATAAAAGATCTTCTTATATAATTAATTTCCCATGTAGAAGTATAGATGTATTGGATAAAATGAACCAACAGTGTACAGTTGATTTCAAATGTAACGGACGACTGGGTGTGGAAACCTTTACGTTGGTTTTTAAATGTAAATGTCCTAGGATTATAGAAAATTAAGCATTTTATAAAACGCAGAGGCTTTTTGATAAAGGGCTTAAAAGTAGTGACCAAAAACACACAACCTTTCTTGAGACCTTCAGACTTTCTCTATCCCAATGTTCATCCCTCCGAGGGAAAATTAAATATTTTGAGTCTCAAAGATGGTTTATTACCATATTCTTTTAGTCGATTGTATTAAATCCTTAAAGCTTCCGCGTTTTATATACGTAAAAATCATAATGTTGCTATATGCCTACGTCTACCAAGTGCCCAGTAAAAATACTTCCCGAGGGTTAAGAAGTGAATAAAAAATAAATCTTTTTATTACATAGAATCATTAGGTACTTTTTTTCTGGTGAAATAATAGGTAATTATAAAGTTTTTCATTTGAAGAAAGGTCATAAAAAAATTATATAATTAATTCTGATTCACATAAATAGAAAGTTTCGGACAAAAAAGAATGCCCGAAGTTAAATTGATTCAAGATGCGAGTACCGAGTATCATATGCGCAAATCGCTTTATGACAGGGTCATAAAGCGCCCCTATAAAGGGATTTACTTTACTTAGGTTCGAGTGTAAATAAGTAGACCGTATTTGATGATATGGTTTTATTTTTTTTTCAAAAGTTATTATTTTTGGAAAATTCGAGCTATTGGACAGTTGTCACACTCTCGTCAAAATATTCTGCGCAAGATACTTCAATGGGGCGCATAATTATGATTATTCTATCAGAAACAGAAGTGACGCATCTAACTCCCGACTCGTAGGCAAATACCTCTGTATTGTAGTCATGTATTTCATATAAAAATTGTAAAATTGCGGATTGTTCAAGAATTTTATTTTTTTTTTTTTTAAAGAGGGGGTCCCAAATGAAGTTAGGCGTCGGGCTCAGAATGTCCACGATCTGCCACTGCCTGTCACAATAATCAAGTCTTGAATTCATTGTACTGTTAAGAAAATAATTCGCCGATTTCCGTATCCATTTGTTTTGTATTTTTTTATTTTGTCATCGTTACCATTCAAGTAAATCGTGGCTCTTTTTTAAAAGCATCCAAATATCAAAGAGGTAGTCTTTTATTCCGAGTGGTATTACTCGTATGTATACGAGGTTGCATATCAGTCTCCGTAGCATTCGGGTTTCCCGCTTGATCTAACGTTGAATTTTCATAAAAATTGAAAATTAATTTTATATTTTATCGATTATCGTCTTAAGTTTAATCACATTGAATAATAAAATTGGTTTTCCCTAAAGTAGTGGTCTATAGAAGCAAATGCCAATCTTTAATTCATTTAATGTAACAGACGTTTTCTATATCAATAAACTAAATAGTATTTTACTTTTACTCTTCTTTAAAATAAATAAACAAAACTTTCTTTAAATTGTTGCAATTACCTTTCGCTTTTACAAGTTTAATTTGAATTGACTCTTATGGCTTAAAGCAGTTTTTTCCGATTTTAAGCAATTTTTGAACAGTATAAAACAACCATACCATAAATACCATTAATTACCAACAATTATATCCATTTAAGCATCCTCCTGATATATTAACACATTAATGTGAAGCAAAAATCAGTATAATACAAATTTGTCCTTCGAGATAGTAGACCGAGGTTATTATAGAAAATAGAATAGAAAAGAGTTTCAACAGGTTATCTACTTTTTGTCCCTAATCTTTTGATTGCGTTGACATAGAAGTTTGATTTTTTTACAGCTCCAAGGTATTACAAACTTGACTATTTGATATTAACTTCAACTTGAGACTTCCACGCGTTCCTGAAAAAAAGGGCCTCGACCGACAGACAGACATACGGATAACGAAGTGATACGAGATGCGGTACCCTAAAAAGGAACATTATCGGCATTAATTCCAGAAAGCCACAAAAACATAAAATTCCTATTAAATGGATAAAAGATAAGCCGTTTTTTCGGTTAAATACAAGGTGATTTCTATTTGCACAACTTTGTATTTAAAAAATGCTCATGCTTGAATTGCAAGTCATTTATTATTAAGAAAGTTATTTGGTAGATAGGGTTGGGGTTAAGATGTATTAAGGTGCTTGGGTTTTATTTTTGGGTAAGTGACGTAGCGTGGGAGGAGGGGGACAATGGAGGCCATAGGCCCCGGGCAGCGCAAATATGGAGGCGGCAAAAATACTTTCTTCAGTGGCAGAAAATCACGCTACGCCACTCTGTGACGGTGCCCGATGGGTCGCACTGCCCTAGATGCGACCATGTACAAATCAGATGACAATTTTCTCCAAAAATTATTTAAATTATAAATAAATCAATGGTAAAACTTAATAATACCGCATAAATAAATAGCGATATTACCTTAATATTATATAAAAAAAAATATGAGTGCTGACAGCACAGGGCAAAGTAGTATTACGTAAATGAAAGTTAGTATCAGAAATTTCTTATGCTGACGTGTACGATGTGTTGCATACCTATTTACAAACAATTCCTTTAAATTTTAATCATTGATATTATGCTATATACATACTATACATCTATTAAAAAATCATAATGGCCGACATCAGTGACAATACGACAACAATTGAAAAAGAATGATGGCCGACAACAGCAACAATTAGAAAAGAATAATGGCCGACACTACGTCACAGTATTGTTCACAAAAGTGAATTTCAACCACTCGAAGCAGTAGTGCTAACAATTTCGAACTCACAGTGACTGATAGGGGGGAAGAACTAGTAATGATAATAAATATGAGAGTTCAATGTGTAAATATGCACTTATCCAGTTATAAAAAAAAAAGTTCAAAAGCACAGGTTTGTAAAAAATTTTATTTACGAAGTATTAGTTGTAACTGAAGAAGTAATATAGGTGTACATATGCTTATGTGTGTTATAGTTTTGACAAAAATTAAATAAAATTAACAGTTTTTGCAACCATATTTTCCCCGATGGCGATATTATGTAGTATTTTCTAATTGAAATAATTAACTTAAATTCAAAATCAAAGCGCGCACTGTAAAAATATTAAATGGACTATGGACTTCTTTCAATTAACAAATAATGAGTTTTCAATTTAAAACAAAACTAAAAGTTTTTTACATATTTAGAGCCTTTTCAATATCAACTATAAGGCAAACAATATGCAATATTGTATGTAGTGTTGCATAATCTGCAAAATAATTCGTTTTTCCTAATGTCTACGTCTACAGAACCGTTGACGTGAAACGTGTAATATTATTGTGTCACAATAGTATTATTCATCATTGCATTTTTCAGTTCCGTCAATTAATTAATCTATACCGTCAATTCATTTTCATTACCGATGTTTAAATGACAGTGGGGTGAATGAGTGTTAAAAGTTATTTGTGTAGAATAAAACCCTTTTACAGTTATATTTTTATATAACATTTTTTGGGGGAGTGTGAACTCGTTAACCACATATTTTGTACTCAAAATTAAGGAATTTACTGTAATAAAAATAATTAATTACTCGTCATTCAGAAGTCTCAATTAAGGAGGGAGGATGGTGTGATGTGTGATAACGCTATTAACAGCTTAGCAAATGGTAATGCTTAAATTTGGCTCCTGTTATAATGCGAATAAGGCAAAATGATCTTTTTTAACACACATTGTATATGATACTCCTCTAAGTAATACGGATAATAGTTAAAATTGTAAATAGAAATCATGAAGCTTTATAAACAGAAACTTTTAACAAATGCCCAACTGAAGAAGCTAAATGAGCATAAGTACTCCTACAAAAGTGATAGTTTCTTGGACAGTTTTCTGCAACCCTGGTGGAACTACTTAGTTAGCAAAACTCCTATTTGGCTAGCCCCAAACCTCATAACGCTTGTTGGTTTATTTGTTAATGTTTTAACAGCCTTAATATTAATAGCGTAAGTATTACATTTTTATTTATTAAAGTGTAAACTATAACCAAGCACACATATTTCTAGTTATTCACCTGATGCCAAAACAGAAGCACCTCGTTGGACATATTTTCTGTGTGCTGTAGGACTTTTTATTTACCAAAGTTTAGATGCTATTGATGGAAAACAAGCTCGACGTACCAACTCAGCAAATCCCCTAGGAGAGCTTTTTGATCATGGTTGTGATTCAATATCAACCATATTTGTAGCACTGTCAGCGTGTCTAGCAGCTCAACTGGGAAATTACCCAAACTGGATGTTTTTCCAGGTATGAAATTGTTTCTAATATAAATGCAATTGTATTAATAATCGTTTGATATAATTCTTTTAAACTTCTAAATATTTTAGTGCTTTTGTGCTATCACATTGTTTTATTGTGCACATTGGCAAACTTATGTGTCAGGAACATTGAAATTTGGGAAAGTTGATGTTACAGAAGCCCAGTTTACAATTATGATAATTCATATGGTCTCAGCAATATTTGGGCCAAGTATATGGAATACAAAGGTAATTTTTAACTTTTTTTAATTTGTTTATGCCTCCCCTTTGGAATATTGAATTATTAAAGCATAAATATTTTACAAGTTTATAAGTTCAAGTATCTACGTGATTACATTTTCTTTATTAATTTAATATTTATTGTTAATTTTGTATACCCCTTTATCACCAAATTAAACATGAAATAGGTACATCCTCAGATTTAAATTTTTTATATATAAAAAATAAAATACACAAGGTAGTAAGAAATATTTAGTAGCAATCCTACATTTAGTCAGTTATATGCATGTAATATGTTAATGTAATATTTAAGAATGACATATTTTAAACAGATTTTTAGCGATTCTTTTGCATTATGGTACACAATACCAATAATGACATTCATTACTTGTTCGTGGTCTTTATATCAAAAATCGATAGTAATCTTCACAGGTGGAGTAGGCAAGAATGGCTCTACCATTGCAGTAAGTCAAATTAAAGAAAAGCATGACAATTTCATAAGGTGGACCTCCTTTTTTTATAGCGGTTATTTAACACTTTTTTGTGTAGTCTTGTCTTTTAAGGGGATCTGTTTACTACTATAACATTATTTTTCATGTGAGTTGTTGCAAATACCGCTTAAGCTTCCTCAAGACACCTCTTTATAATATAACATAAACTTACATATTATGAAGACTACTGTTTAAAATTCATTATTCACCGGAAAAGGAAAGACCACGTTCTTCACTTATGATTAGATCCAGCCCTGTTAACAATATCCTGTATATTACATCTACAAATCCTAAGCATCAATAGATTGGCATTTTTCGTGCGGTTTTTTTTTTAATAAAAATAAGCAAATTTTAATATTATTTTGGAAAATATGCTAACGTTTCACAAAGTAGGTACATGATAAATTAAAACGTACTCTCACAACTATTTAAACAAAATACATAATTTAATAACTTAATTACAATTTTGTTCTATATTGCTTTGATTGTGATAAAAAAAAGCCCTTTTGCCATATTCTCAAAAATTGTACATTAAAGATTAAGAACATGACATTTTTTACTTACTGTAAACTACCTCAGGTTAATGAACATTAATACTTGATATTAACCACTATTAAATTAAGTGTTTCAAAAAATCTTAAGATAATTGCAATGGTCTTTTAAATTAAACAAAAAAATATCAAGAGTTGTTCGCTATATTGATTTTTTGCACATTAATCCACAATTACCAAAAGAAGGTATAAAATTATAGAATACTAATATATACTCATTAAAAGACAATTCTGATTAAGAGGATAATTTTTCTCCAAAAATTTTTATCATTTTCATTTATTTGTGAATGAACTAATTTTGCTTTTTGCTTAATTATTTCGCCACTCAAAATAAAATTATTATTTCGTTCATCAAGAAACCATTTATGTAATTTTAGGAGGCTACGGACTCGAACGTTTTCTCTGTCCATATTTACCTCTCATAGCTTTAGGGTTTAGTTCCCTACTTTGTTTTATCATACAAAAATTATTTAGGTGATATATGCAGAATTCAGATAAGACAACCACTAACACCAAACTATGTACCTATCTAAATTGATACACGAATAAAACTTCTCTCTAGCGAATTCTCTACAAGGAAGTGCCAAATAATGTCGGAGATTTACAGCAATGATGCACATTATGAGGTGTTTACGATATGCGATGTTCACACTATCGCGAGTCTATTATATTGTATTTTTGCAATAGCAATTCGAGAATAACCACGTATTTTTCGCAGCATTATTTTACAGCAAGTAAACGAAGGAATTTTAAAACAGTCGTTGAGTTTTTAATTTAGAAAAAATAAATTTGTATTGTAGGTTTTCGGTAGTTTCACGACGAGTCATATGTTGTGCACGATGTTCTTCATTGGGTACTTTCAAGTATTTCTTAATTTTCTCGAAGCAATTAGAGCTGGAGGTTGTGGAAAAAATGGTTCCACTGTTGCTGTAAGGATAACAATAATAATTTACTGTTTACCTATCTTCGAGCTTAAATTAATTACAATAATATTTAATAACGATATTTTCGAGCTTGCATTCTGTCGGCATGCTTAAGTATTTCAAATTAGCATTAAATTTGATACTTTGTGTACATAAACTAGAAAAAATTTCCACTTTTCTTCCTTTCATAAAGAAAAGTAGTTCTTACTGAAATGAAAATTGTATGCGATGATGAACTATAGTAATGTTCAATTGAAGGATAAATCTTTAATTTTCTATTATTTTTTTTATTACTTAAATAGTTTCATCACTGCACATTATTTTCAAAAACTACATTAAAAATATATTTTCTAAAAACAAAGACTAAAAAACAGTAGATATTGTTTTCATAATTAGCTTCTGGTATTTGGTGAATAGTTTTTTATTATCTAAAGAGTAGCTATACATTTATGGGTTTCTTTATTTTGATTTAATGAAGCTAAATAAAAAATCTAGATAAACATTCACATATTAAAACAATAATATAAAAATAATATCGTAATTTTCATCATCTCAAATGTGTGGAATGTGTGTCATCAGTTTTGTTAATACGAGTTTATCATTGTATACGTACATGGACTTTATTCATTAAATTGACTATGGTTGTGAAGCTTTTACCTATTTTAATTAGTTTTAATAATCCGAATTAATTTTATTTATGTGTATGTTTTAAAGATCAGCACGGGTACGTTAATTTGAAACATGTGTTCCGGTCTTAAAAAACGATAACTTTTTCGTAGCTCACAAAAATGGGGTAAAGGGCCAATTTAATTATGCATTTATTATTTAACGCAGATAAATATTATTACTAAAATGTTTATATTGCAATGGAAATGCACAAAAAAAATAGTGGATGAATAACACAAATACATTAAAATTAATTTCATTTCGAATTTCTACATAAGAGTATCTATAAATTTTAAAATTATAAACGGTTCATTATTGCTTTGTTGTCCAAAAAGAAGTTGATTGTCTTATCTTCGAAAACTACATCGGTTAAGAATAGCTACCGTTCCACGAACTGGACTATCAGACGAAGCTCCGTTATAAATTGTTTGCATTTTTTCTACTAACTGTGAACCTCTTTGTTTGTTGTTCAAGATTCCCGCAACAGACATGGAGATTCGAACCGTCGGTCTTTACATTGCATGTGTCCAATATTTACTTCATGCTCGAACCTATTTCCGAGCAATTTTCACGGAAGGTGCCGGAAAAAACGGATCAACAGTTGCCGTAATACCCCTCTCATTCATCGATCTTCCTGTGGCTTTCATCTCGCTAAACTTCGTCCAGTTGTTCGTTTGAATATTTAATCTACTTAACGTTTCAAACGCTCATCTGAAACGAAACCTAATATTCGCAGCAACAGCATATCCTATTTCTTTTTTTTTTTGCTTTTTACCGTCAACTCCTTTTGTAACTTCGCTTTGCATGGCCCTGATTAACTTTAGAGATGGTAATGCTAAGTTTGTGGAGGTTCCTAACGCTTCTTGTTTTTCTGTAATTTTTTTATTAAATAAGTATATACTAAAGTAGAATAACAAGAAGCTGTTCCCTAATCAAAATAAAAAAGAATTATGTAGCAATATTTTTTCGTTTTTACGGAGAATCTGCAAACATCAAGGGTATCTATTAGCAAAAGAAAGTTTTGATTAAGTGAATTAACACATTCAACTTTTTCTTCTTTGTTCTCATTTGATGTTTGTTTGATTTGAAACAATAACAATATTATTAATTTATTTACAACATATTTTGCTTTAATGCTGCATCATTTTTTTTTTCACTTTTAAACTTTTGGTTGCTTTTGTTATCGGCATTTTCCTTCTAATTTCACTCTATATACTTTATTAATAAATGTGAAAATAAATGTTGTACTGTCATTTTAACGTGTACATTAGTAAAAAAATTATTGTTTTTTTCACCCAGGGTACAAGTGTGCTATCTCCTATAATACCCTTCTCAATGGTGCTAGTTCCTGCGTTTATAATTTATAGAAAATCGATCGATCATGTTTATGAAGAGCACCCAGCTCTTTATATAATGGCCTTTGGAATAGTTGCCGCCAAAGTAACAAACAAACTAGTTGTAAGGATGATAGAATGTTTTTATACACACTCAATATTTGCATTTTATTATTACGTTTTAGGTTGCCCATATGACTGTTAGTGAAATGGAATATATGGATGTTTCACTTGTTGGCCCCGCTATGTTATTTTTTAATCAATATTTTAATACCTTTTTACCAGAATATGCGGTTCTATGGCTTTGTATGGTAAGATTTCAATCATTATATTATATACTAACGGTTTAAACTAATTTCACAATTACAAAAAAAAATGAATTTTTACTAAATAAATTCAATTTTTATAAATCGGTTTTCTAGAAGATTAACTAAATCGCCTATAAAACGATTAAATGTATGTATCTAATGAATTCATCGTAAGTACTTAATTTGTTTTTTCAGATATGGGTCACTTTGGACTTATTCAGGTATTGCTCGCAAGTTTGTCTGGAAATATGCGACCACTTACACGTAGAATTGTTCCGCATCCCAAGTCCTGGTGATCCTCTAAGGGTCACTGTGCCTTCGACAGCCCTGTCACTAGAGAAAAATGGTACGGCTTATCGAACTATTAAAACGCGCAGTCGAAAACACTATTCGTAGTCCTTCTAGAAATAATTGGAATCTAACATTCAGAGGGTTTTCTCTTTTCTTCTCTCTATCTTTCACTTTTTCGTTGATTTTCATTCATGATATAGGAATTACTTTTTTTCAATCTAATATCCAATTTTTGTTTTCAATTAATAAGTATATTATAAAAATTTGAGGTAAGCTCAAAGTTAAATTAAAAAATAATAATTTGTGTAAATAACGAATTAATTCCACTTTTGGCTATTGTGTTTTCATTTAATTTCTTGTTAATATCAGAAAAAGCTAATGTACTGTTTTAAAGGATAATTTGTTTCTTTTCAAAATAAAAGGAAATCAGTTGACACTTGAGGATTTTATAAATTTTTCTGTTATTATTCATAACTTGTAGTTCCTTAATCAGTGTCAACTTTCGATTGACCCATAACTATCTATTACTACACTGTCACCTTACATGTAGAATTCTTAATTCACACCATACGTAGCAATATGCCAAAAAAGATATCTTTTGTTTTACACCTTTTAGATTCTGTTTCTACTCCAACCTTCATAACTGATAAGAGGCGCACGTCATTCGCACATATAAGGTTCGTACTTAGGCCCGTGATCATAGTAAATAAATATTCCTTATTCTTATTAAAACCAAATTAATTTTATTTATGGTCGGTACCATCTAATTGACGTTAAAATCATTTCTAACCCATTCTACATTTCTTAATACCTAGTTACAAGCATTACACTTGATTTTACAACTTATCTCAATCGATCGTCGGAATGTGCGGAAAGCTTTTAAGAAAGGGGGCTAGTAAAAATATCGATGTTAGGGGTCGATCAAACCAACACGAGATCAGCACATTTAACAAATTATTCGTTTTTTTTGCATATATTGGTTGTTCTATAGGTTTACGTTATTGAATTCATTCATCTTTTTAAACTAACAGGATTTTAATCGAAAAGCAGCACACACATTTAAGGAATAGTCCCGAATTTTTAACTGTATGTCGTATAGTAAATCTATTTTATTAGGTAGATAGAGACAAACGCTACAACTTGAGCGTTGTTTGTTATTCAAGTTTATTTCAGAATTACAATTGAATGGTTGTTGAATGCTTTGGAAGCTAGTAAGTTTTATAAAAAAAATCGTACTGAAAATTTTAAATCACCAACAGAATAAGATGTTGATTTTCATTTTTCGTTTGAATTTACCTTAGACCATGAGTTTCACGTCTGTTCCTATAAACAGTAATTTAGCGTCCTAAGTGCGCCCATGCGAATTATGTCATGTGCGAATAACATGCAGTCCTTATAGTGCTTATAGCAGACCTAAATCGTATGTACTGAATTAGTTTTGCGCATAGGTATCTAACAAATACGTTCCTTATACTGCTTTAATGTAGTAATAACAATCTTATTGTGATTTTATTTTTGTAAATACTACTTTCCGTATCGTTAATTATTTTTGTAGATTAATTCTACAAAATAACCGGGTAGCCAACTGCTTGATGCCAAAGAGGCCTTTATGGTTTTTCTCGAACAAAAAATATACTTATTCACATTTGAATATTATTAATTAAATTATTTCTTTTTTATGACAATAAGTTGTTGTATATACCATTGCTTTAATTTTTCTTTTAAAACTTTAGATCTGAACTAAAAGACAAAGGTTGATCTTGTCGTCACTATCTCCTCTGGCAGATGTTAACAAAATTATTGTTTCTTAAAATGTTTATTATTTAATTACGTACATAAAATTTTAAACGATTTGTTTTTTGTAAAAATAGAAAAAGTGTACGTATTTGACGAAAATGAAAAAGAAATATTTTGTAGTCCCTTTGTGCGTAAAGAACTTTAAATTAGACTGCTGTATGAAGTAACTATAAATAAAGCAGTAATACTTATATAATTTTTTTAAACAAAGTACTCCAAAATTTTTCCATTATAATAGAAAAAGAAATTAATGGTCGAATGCTAATATTTTTTTATTGTAGACCATGGTGGATTTTTTTTTACTAAAAGGCTGTCTGTAAAATTTTCTATTAAATACTATTATTTTAACTTGAAAGTATTTATTGTCTACTGCAGAATATTACATTTAGCAGTATAAATACAGTTGTCATTTCGCATTGGTTCTTAATACTTCTAAAATAACGAATTAAACAAAACTGCTTATTCTTTTCTATTTTTAATTTATGCTAGGGATGTAACATTCAGAAAAATGCAAAAATAAATTTAATTCTCAAACAAGCAATTTAATTTCTTTAATAAAAACATTTTTAAACCTATTGTTAAACTGTACTAATAGAAACCAATTAGTAGAAGAATTTAAAGTAACAGTAGTGCATTTCATAAAGAAAACAATGTTGTATGTTAATAACTATCGAAGGGTGATAGAGTAAATAGGCGATTCCAAATTAAAATGACTCATTAGTTTCTAATTTGAATATTAGTGTCCTACTACTTAAATTCAATAATTATCAATTACACATTAACGAGAACATTGTTTCGATCGATTGATATCATTTTATTTGAAATATAATTAGAAACATAGAAACCAAGAATTATTTGGTTTTGAAATCATTTATTTTGTGTATCGCCCCTCTGTAGTTCTAGGTGAATCTTTCTTATGGCTAGTGCTCGATTAAACAAGGATGCTATTAATAATAGTGGAAATTTTATTTATTTCGTATACTAATTGCAGTTAACTTGGTGAACCCCGTTAGAAAATGTGTTTCACTTGAACAACGTAGAAAATGTTATCAAGACGTTTCAGAACCAACTTTTGAAATCACTTCTGGTTTTAAAACTGGTTATGTTGAAATTGCTAATAAAATGGAGAATTTTTTGCGCACAGGAAAACCGTTTACATTGAATAATAAATAATCTGAATGAAATACATCAATTGAGCCATGTACATATACTTATGCTTGTATATTTTATATAAGATTATATCTATATTTATTATAAATTCTAATATCATCTAAAATCTCATACACTTATTCATCCTAAAAGTGTTCTGTTTAAAATTATCAGTTTTAAGATAATGTAACACTTAAAATACTTTAATATGGGAGCTTGCTTAAAAACTCAATTGCCTAATTGATGGTGCTGGTAGTATTTACTATGTAAATGGAAATATTGTTTCTACGCTTTCGAAAATTTTCAGCAAATTAGTAATTTTTAGGTGCTAGTGATTCTGATATGAGTGACCTGGGGAAAGATGATGGAATACCATTATTACATTCATGAGAAAACCATGTATTTGCATTTCTTCAAAATAACATTTACGTTATATATAGTTTATTAATTCAACTACCCATATAATAAACATTGTTGATGTGGTAAATAAATCGTTATTGTAAACCATCTATTTTTCCTAAAAAATAATAATGAATTTCAGCTTTCAATGTTGTTTTCTTTTTTGAATGTAGTCAGTTCATTTTCAAATAAGTCCAAAGTGTGATCACAAACATTAACTAAATCTTCTAAACCTCTTCTAAGAGCATCAACAGCTCTACCTTCATACATTTGTATCCTTAAGTTCATTTTCTTTTCTGCCGGATGAGATATTGTGTAACCACAAAATTGAACATCTTTGCTGTAAAGTGTTATCAAAGAGTGTTGAAAACGAATATATTTATGATGTCTACTTACTAGCTTGAAATTATACTTCGCAGAGTATTTCCTAAAGTGTGCCCCTCATCTTCAAACACGAATGTCTTTGATCTTTCTCCTGCTGATTCACTGCTTGCCAACTAAAATAATTTACTGTAAATTATATAGGTTAAAATGTTTTAATTTGCTTACTTGTGATATTGGCATTTTTAAATATTCATTAATTCTTCAAAGTTTAAAAGGAATATAATAATTCTGATTTAGTATTTATATATGATTTTTAACACTTTTTCTAGGTTAACGTCAGTTAACGTCGATAACCATAGATAATAGATATACAAATGGTCGTTAACTTTAACACCATAGACATGGTTGGAGACATAGATACATAGATGTAGTTAGAATTTAGACCATAGATTTAGACATTCTTGTTAGAATTTAGACACAATAGAAATCATATAGCTAAAATCATAGATGGTTAAAGGTACATCATACATCATGCATATATCTATATATAATTCTATTATCTATGATATAATTTAATAATGTATCTATGATAATAGTCATATAATGGCTGTATAATAGCAAGTCAACAAAAACTGTTAACCCCATACTTAATAAATAAATTGCATTTTTTATTTCATAATCAAAAATGCCGAAAAAGAAAACAGGACAACGAAAGAAAGCTGAAAAACAAAAACTTCGTCAAAAAGAGATCAGGTCAGCAAAAGACAAAATCGCACTGGCACAACATCCTTGCAATGGAGCCATGGAATGTGATAGATGTAATAGGTTAGACCTTTTTATTAATTTTTTAGCACATCACATAACCGACTTATTTTTACAGAAAACAAAAAAATAGAGCATTTTGCTACTTTTGCCAAAGTATTCAAAGACTTCCAGTTTGTGCACAATGTGGAAAGATGAAGTGCATGTTAAAAACCGGCGACTGTGTTATTAGGCATGCAGGAGTTTATACAACTGGATTAGGAATGGTGGTAAATGAAATATTTAATTTTCTCTCTTGTATGCAGTATTGGTCAAATTTATAAGACAAAATCAAAAACCTTATTACTACTATATTTATATTAGGAATAATCACAGTTATTTCTTTAGGGTGCCATTTGTGATTTTTGTGAAGCATGGGTATGTCATGGTAGACGTTGTTTGCAGTCACATGCTTGCACTTGTCCTCTGCAGGAAGCAATCTGTGCAGAATGTGAACGAGGTGTATGGGACCATGGTGGGCGTATTTTCAAATGCTCTTTCTGTGATAATTTCCTGTGTGAAGATGATCAATTTGAGCATCAAGCATCATGTCAAGTTTTAGAATCAGAAAACTTTAAATGTATATTCTCTATGACATTAGTATTAATTTTCTTTTAAAAAATATAATTGTAGGTCAATCTTGCAATAAACTTGGGCAATATTCTTGTTTAAGATGTAAAACATGTTACTGTGAAGACCATGTTCGAAGGAAAGGCTTTAAATATGACAAAAACAAGTCTATTCCTTGCCCTAAATGTGGCTATGACACATCACAGACTAAAGATCTTAGCATGTCCAGTAAGAATAACACAAAATACTTTCACTTTTTAAACAATGTTATTCTAGTATTACTATTTTACAGCTCGCAGTCACAAATTTGGGCGACAAGCACAAGCAAGTGGTTATGGTGATTATGACGAAAGTGACGAAGCTGATTATGATTATGGAACATCTGCCTACAATTATGATAATGAAGAGGAAGGGAATGATTCTTATGAAGAATCTGATGAGGAATCAGAAGAATCGTCAGAAGACGACGAGGAAGAAAAGAAAGATGAAGGTAAATAATGTACATTTATATTATTTGCACAATATGACATGATCAATTGGTATAATAAACAGTGCTAAAATAGTTTTCTTCTCTCAAATACTGAATATATGGAGCTTTTCTTTTCGTATAATACATACTTGTCCTCGTATACATGCGAATACTTTCAAATTTTTCGATTTGCAAACTTCCAGTAACAGACCTTTTCACGTCTCTTTAATATACTTCATTTGACCTTTATTCACAGAAGAAAAGATTTCTTGACGTTTTTCCCTTTTTCCTACTATAATTTAATTTAAAAATTTTTCTGAATTGATGAAAGGCCTTTTGAGTAAACGTTTTCAAAATATGCAAAATATTTAATTGTCTTATTAATAAAAATCAAATTATTTTCTATCTAAAAGTAAAAGTTGAATTTCGTGCCATTGTTGTCAGAAACTTCCTTGACGTACATATACCATCAAGACGTCTTATCATAAGCTCTATCATTAAAACAATCAATTTGGTCAATAACATTTTTATTTTACGTTTCTTTTTGTTGAAATTTGTCCTACAGCCATGAGTTTTACAAGCAATGAAAAACTAATTTTAAAATTATAAATTAATTACTTTTTCAAGTTACTAAAGTAACAAATTAATAAACTACTACACTACATGTAGACATTTTTTCAATGCCTTAACAAGTCCATCATCAAAAAGCACCAAAGTTTTCTTTAATGTAATTTCCTCGTTAAATATAAATTACCAATACTATGCTGTAAAAAATGCAAGTATTTTCCATATTTTCTTAACTTATAGTAACTTTAAAATATAAAAATTCCAACTAACAGCATTGAGAAAATTTTAGCTTAGCCAATTTTCAAATAAGTTCAAATAATGCTTTAAAAGTAACACCATCTCCTTCCTAATTGAAATAGAAAAGTCACGTTTACAGAGCTTTAAAGTAGTAATCCTAACTTATAGCAATAATAATTAACTTTACTCATACTCTACACTCGTCTTTATACAGTATCAAGCATGATATAGGTACTTGGAAAATTTGAATTTTATTTATGTTCAGTATGAAACCTGATTTTACCATTACCCTACCACGCATGCAGACATTGTTGTGAATATAATATATACAGACATTGCAGTTATTATAAATTATTATTTTGTAAGTAATATAACAACTGCAATGACAGTAACTAGCAATTAGTAGTTCTTACATTTTTTAAGCAAAATAAACGAAACTTAGTAAATATAATTGGAAAATAGCAACATACATAATTACAGAAGTGTAACAGAGATTAGCCTCCTTGCCACAATTTATCACGACTCGGTCCTTTTTGTTCTACATTATTTTTTTACCTACATGGTAGGAAGAATTAATTTTGTATTACAAATAGTTTACTTATGCACTAACTCCTCATATAGTTAAGATCATTATCAGCGTAAATGATATACAATAAAAATTAAGATGATGCAAAATTCTCTGGTAACAATTTTTGAAATAATGAAAACTATTGAACATGAAGTCAAGTTTTTTTTTTTATAAAGTTTCTATGCCAAATAATTATATTTAAAAAACCCTGTCGGTACTGCAAAATCCGTACCTTAGAAGCTCTTTAAATAATTTCAATATAACCCAAATTGCATTTCAAGAGAATTTCTTTTCTAATTTACATAAAATAAATAAAATTAATAATTGTAAATAACGTTGCTTAGCATATTACTGGTCTATAATAGTCTAAGTGTCTACGTATTGGTGTTAAAATTACTGTACAGATCTTTACTACCAAAAGCCAGGAACTAAAGCTGTTTTTTGAAACTGAAACAGAAATAGCAAAAAAATTTTTAAATGCAGGTATGTAGCTTGTTCGGTATTACTCCTTTTCGGTCTTAAGTTGATTCACCAGGAAACCTGATGCTGCGTCCATGTGTCAGTCACTTACTATTCTCCTAAACTTTTTAGGTGGAGGCCTAAATTCGTCGTATGCATGTTCTGGGAGAAATTTCTCAAGTTGTTCGTCGAAAAATTTTTCTAGCGTTTTTGCATCCTGATACACTTGAGTATTCTCCTATATTCAAAAAAAAAAAATACAATTGATTTATTGCACTCTTCACAAACAAGATGTATTTAACTCAGCTCTATTATCAATTTATAATAAATCAACAAAAGCTTCTTTTAATAACATTATTTTATCTACTAAATCCACAAAAAAAAATTCTTACGTCATTATATGTATAAGCGTTTTTAAACATCAGTCGAATGTCTTTAATGAAATCATCGATGGTTGTGTAATGGTTGATGGCATTCCAGTCTAATTTGTGTCTGATGGTATCCAATGCAATTGGTTTTTTGATAATGGAATGATATTCTATATTCTGCAAAACAAAATTAATAGTTTGTCATTCCTTAAACTCATATTACATAAAAACATCGTTTAAGACACATGCCAACAATTTTAAAGTATTGTTTTAACGTTATTTATACTGCGTATGAAAATGAAAAGAAAAACTACCAACAGCAGTCTAATAAATGCACGTCCATGCGAATAAAGACACATTTCGTCATTTACCTGAACATTCTGTGATAACGCTTCGGTTTTTTGCTGAACAAACAAAAGTACGAAAAATCGTTACTGATTATACAGAAATTAATTAAACTGCCTTTACCGTACTCTATTATTTCGTTTACACGAAAAGGGCGTGCATTTTTTTTATGTTTAACTTACTTCTGGTCCTATCACTTCTCTGAATGGCAGACTTGGTTCATATTGACAGTACAATTCCAGAACTATTCTCTCCAGTATTTTGCGCTGTCTTGTTTCCAGTTCCCCTTCTTTAATCTCACCAGGCGGTAAATCAGCAATATTTGTACAGAGCAGACATTGCCATGTGTCACTTTCCCTTAAATTTATGAATACCTAATTATTGAAGTTCAAATACTACTTCACATATTTTATTAACACGATTTTATAATTCAAATGAATAAACTTAGTTAATTTTTTTCTATTATATACACATACATCAGCTATCAATATATTCTTTAAAATGTTTGTGGTACTTAAAAGTGTTTCTGGGATTTAGAACTTACTCAACGCTTAAGTTCGGTATATGACAGAACTGATGAAACACCTTTGGACATTTATCGCAACAGACGAGTTCGCCACCATCCATGCACACCGCGCACCAATCCTCATTCGGATCGTCTTTACCAGGATCGACAACGTCACCTTTCACCTTTCCCGACAAAACACCTCCTACGACGCCGCTATCGTCCGTGGAACTGTCCACGTGGGGCGAACCACCTGTTGTTTTGACATTACCCTCCGCGAGCACTTGAACACCATTCGAATCGAGTTTCGCGATCGTTGCCATTAAATCATTAACTGAGTCCTGACAGAACTTATCGAGATTCCGTTCCGTATCCGATTTACCACCCTGTACACCGTTGGGGCTCGGTGTTTTCGGTATAGTTGATGACACAGCAGCTGGTTTTGTATCTGAACCAACGTTGTTAGCCTATAAAGAAAATATTGTATAAAACCGGTGTAATCTATCACAAATTAATTGTATATTAATTAGTGGTGGTATTTTTCTTACATCAATAAAAACAAAAAATATGCATATATTACTAATACATCTCATAAAGTAATCAATCATAGGATAATGGGAAAACACCTACAAATTTTGTACTCTTAATTTAAGGATGTTTTTAAACTATCAATAATGTCATTTTCAATTCTTACTTGTGACTTTAGCGTTATCTTGAAGTTATCATTTACGGGCAAGGACGCTTGACTGCGAACCACAGAAACAGCATAGGTTCCGGCTCCAGCAGTTGCCGCAACTGCATCTCCTGTTTGCGGGATATGCCATTTGGCCCCTTGCTGAAGTGGCGGCGAAGTGAAGTTTTGATTTTGTACATTCATCTTTGTCTGTATATTAGGAGGTAAATGACTTGAAGTCAAAAGGCGAATGGACCCGCCTGGCTGTTGCAACTGTTGGCGCATCTGTTGTACCTGTTGCTGCTGGTTAAAACGGTTTTGATATTGTTGAGCGAACTGAGGCTGTACAGCCCTATATTGGTTTGGACCAGTTTGTACATACACAGTGCTGCTATTATGATTGGTTGTTGGTTGCAAAAGACCTCTCAAACTTCCTCGTTCCTGCATAAGTCCTTGCGGATGTGTTGAAGATGAGACCTGTAGTAAATTGCAAATGTAAATTTGGATTACAAATATCTTATTAAGCGAAATTACCAACAAAAAGATCTTTTACTGTTTTTTTATAAATGACAACGTAAAAATATACAAACCTGCTGCTGTTGATGATTGATTCCAGGACTGGACAGTCTGTTAATTGGTAAGATTGCCCTTGGCATACCACCTCTAGGAATAGTTACTCTTTGCATGGGACTTTGTTGTAAATGCTGTTGCAAAGTCATTGGCAAAGTGTTTAACTGGGGAGGCATATTTTGTTGAATTTTTTGATCTGAATAAAAATAAAGAACTTTAAGAGTTTTTTACGCTCAATTATTGATTCCGCAAACCCATATTTTTAAGTTAAGACGAAGAAAGAAAATTTTATTTAGACAGTAGATATTAACAGAGACAATAGAAAATACATATCTTGAATATTCAAAAAGTATGTCGTAGTAATTTGAGGCAATGGCTTACTCATATTCTGTTGCATGCCAGGCTGCATACTTTGAGATGTTTGCTGATAATGCTGTTGACCGTAAGGTGGTGGTAACATACGGGGCTGTTGAAACGTCATTTGTTGCTGTTGATAGTGTTGAGGTTGTTGTGGTGGTGGTTGTTGAATAGATGATGGAGGTGGTGGTTGATTAAGGGGTGACTGTTGTTGAGGGGGTCTCGTATGTCCCGGGCTAGGCGAACCATGAGGAGGTAATGACCCCGCCGGCGAAGAAGGTGAAATGGGATATACCCTGCCATCTACCACGATTTGCCCGATCGTGGAAATGACTGACAATAACAAAACGCCGCAAATAATAAAAGACCGATTTTTAAAATATGAACAGGTTAATAAGCTTACCTGACGCCAAACCTTTTATTGATAATGTTAGACATAAAAATAATACGAAAAATCTTATTACATTAAATAAAATTAAAACGTTTATACTTGCTAAGAGAATATTATATATAACCAACTAAATTATTCGTTTTTATAAAAAGGCATTCACATCTCGATAACGGATAAAAGTTGCCCGTGTATTGGACAACAGATAATGAACATAAATGAAGCTTTTTTTTCCCGGAACTAAATTATAAATATAATAACTTTGTTAATAGAAAACTCATAGGTTGTCGACTCTTTCAATTAATAATGAACAAATTATTTACAATTAATAGTTGTAGGCATTATTTGTCGAAGTTCAATATTCAATTTTAATAAGAATTAGAACAGAAATTTCAAAAAAATATTAACAATTTACCACAAGAATTGTTTTGTCAAAAATTAGCTTCATCAGGTGCAAGATAAAAGTTTGACGAAACTATACTGTCTAAACTATCAGTCAAAATTTTTGAAACCTTTCTTTTGCTTTTTCAAAATAAATCATTCATATATTATACTGCATTTGTGTAATTTACTAGCTCACCCTTAATTAATTCTGGAACTTTGTCAAGTGCAAGATGTATTCTAACAGGAATTTCAGGATTAGGAATATCTGCTCTCTTACACTTGATCCTTTGTAAATGGCATGTTACTTGACGTTTACTAAATAAAAGTGCCATATCACTACCACTTTCCAATGCATGCTGAGTAAATTCTATACAATGATCTGTGATTTTTGATAACTGATCCAATGCTACTTTCTTTTCTTGCAATGTTTTCTGTTTCTGTTCACAAACTTCATTTAATTTAGAAACAAGCTCCTTGCCTCTCATATTAATAGTATTTGTTAATCTGGAAATTTTTGAAAGTTATTATATACAGATGAACAGTGTAAGTTAAAACAAATGTACTTACTTCACGACCATTTGGGTGATCTCTTTAACAATAGCTTGCTTTTTTTCACTTATCAGTGTTTGCCGATCAGCGATGACTTTCATTGCACTATCAAGTAGGACTCGCTTGTAACTAAAAAAAATAAGACATTTTTGTTTAGAAACCTGGATGAAATATCTTCTTTGCATATTATATTATGGATATTTACCTGACATCCTTTAACATATTCGAGATAAATTTTCTTGTATCAGAGGCAATTTCATGAGTAAATTTGTATTTATGGTCTCGATGCTCTATAAGTTGGCAATCTCTACATGTCAATTTATCACAATTTTCACAAAAGAGAGATAACTTCTCATGAGGATGTACAGAACACATTAAATTTTGATTAGATGAAGCATTTGTAGATGTATGATTCTCAAGTAGGCCTTCTTCCTTGGTTTTAATTGTATGATCTTTCGTTATTTTCAATCTGGATTACAGAAATTTGCTTTAATACAAGTGACTCCTTTGCAGTACAGTAAATGATTTACCTTTGATGTGCTTGCACACAGCTTTCACAAATATACTCCAAACAGTCAGCACACCAACTAACTGCTAGCGCATCATCACTACAACTACTGCATTTTATCTCTGTAGCTTTAGCAATATTATCATCATGATTAGAAAACTCCAACAAGAATTGGTTTTCTATTATCCTTTCTACTTGGCTTGGTAAATTGCATGATGCACAGGGAATTAACACTGAAATATTTTAAAAGCTGATTTAAAACCAACAAGCATTAACTTTACTATTATAATATGCACCTGTTTGAATACTGCTGCCATGAATATTACTCTCGCTTTGCTCGCAAATTTTGTTATTAACACAAGAGCCACAAACGTTATGTAAGCATTCCAGTAACTTAGGCTCATCACTAGCAGTTAAAATACGTTCACAGAACACACATTTATATACAAAACTGTCTCCCGATGTACCACTTTCCACATTCTCTTCTTCGGAGCTATTGGTTAAATTATTGGATTGATCTTGGTTGCTATCTTCTTTTGTGCTATTTAAAACCTCTTCTATGGCATTATCAATTACAGCAATGTTTTCAACATTAACACTTGAAATGTTCGGGTTTTCCGAAGGATCAGAATCTTTCGATTCGGAGTTATTTTGTAAATTTGAATTATTTTGAATTGAATCTTGATCGCTCAACTTAAAATCGGCCTCAGCCATTGTTACCTTTCAAAAATATGAAGTACTTCAATGGCTAACTTCTACTTGTTGATTGAAGAGCATGTACACTTGAAATTATGAAATTTAAAAGATAATACGTTAAAAAAATCAATATTTTCATAAAATAAATTTATACCTTAAACAATTCGCACATTGTTTATATTTTTTAGAACATTTCTCTTCCGTAATCAGTACACGCAACACACCAACTCCCGAACTACAAAATGTCAAATTCATGTCAAGGATGTCAAGTTGAACCATAGTTAAACCCATAGGTTGCACCGTAGATAATAGAATTTATAATTAAAGTATATCACCCATAGATCACACTTTTTGTTCGATTTCAAAAATAATATTTGTTATAAACGGATTAATTCACAATAAGATTCCATATATTATATTACAGTTTAGTTAGGTAATAACCTATATAAAATGCTACGTTATCTCGTAATTTACAACTTATTTTCGTTTACAATTGTTTTGTACAAATAGTAATGAGTTCAGTACCATAGGTAACAATTGAGCACTTCGGAGTCGGCACTGGAGACAGTACGTACATAATTTTAAGATTTGCGCGGAGGCTGTGCTCATTTTAAAAGGAATAATTTTTTTAAAATTGTCAAAGGTTGTTACTGTTTAAGTAAAATTTATTTGATTTTAGAAATTATTGTTTAATATTTAATAGTAATCATGACAAGGTAAGTAAATTTTAAAATAATTTTGGAGGTTAAAGAAACAGCCATTTCTTAACATTATAGAGCTACAATTGAATTAGGAAATGTTACTCCTCACAATATTAAACAATTAAAGAAACTAAACAGCGTCGTATTTCCGGTTTATTACAACGACAAATTTTATAAAGATGTTCTGGAAGCTGGAGAGCTAGCAAAACTTGCATACTATAATGACATTGTGGTTGGGGCAGTATGTTGTCGTATTGACACATCTGAAAAGAGTCGTAGATTGTATATCATGACGCTAGGATGCTTGTACCCATACAGAAGATTGGGCATTGGAACAATGATGGTTAATCATGTATTAAATTATGTAGAGCGAGATGGGAATTTTGATAGCATCTTCCTGTGAGTAATTTTCTATTTGATTAACTTGTAAATTAACAGTTACCTTTTAAAGACACGTTCAAGTTAACAACGAAGGAGCTATTGACTTTTATAAGAAATTTGGATTTGAAATTGTTGAGACCAAGGAACATTACTATAAAAGGATTGAACCTGCAGATGCTCATGTGTTACAAAAGACATTGAGAAGTAAAGAGCAGAGAAATGGCACACATGAAGAAAACGGTAAAGAAAATAAAAAAGCTCACTAAAAATTATATTCTTTTGGACTACATATTTGTTTTTATTTGGTTAAAATAGTGTTAGTGTTTACTTGACACATTTTACTATTGGTAAATTGAGTGTAAAAAGTCATGTAAATAACAAAAATACACTTGTTAATATTTTTAAATTGTTACTGTGTAACTTGGCTTTACTGACATTATAAATGCTTCTGTTTGTCAAAGTAATGTAGAACAGAAATAAAATATTATTCAATATTTTAAGAGCTGTTACTAGGTAACTATAAGTTAACTGTGTATGGTCTGAAGTACTTTTACTTCTTACTACCCCATCTTTATTCTTAAAATATTCTATTCAAGTAGCATAACTTGCATTGATTTACAGGCAAGGAAATATTTTATTTTACGAAACTAAACGTTACTTGTTAACTAATTAGCAATTCTATATAACACTTTACTTATTTTAGATGCACTTGAAGTACGAGAACAATTGAGGGGTAAAATAGGACATTAGAAAATTTTGATCTTTTTATGCGATAAACGTTGCCACTGGTGTATATACGTTACCTACAACTATTTTTTCATTGTCTAAATGTATCCCTATAGTGTTTTTCGACATTTATTGGCGGTTTTTACATTTTATTTTTTGTTGAAATTAAAATTTTTTAAATTGGTGTATTAAATCAGTTTAGAGAATAAAACTAAAGCGTTCTTAAACGATATGGCTAAATAACAAATAACCTCAGAAATACGAAGTCAATAATTCTTTCATACAAAAAACGTCAAGAATATCGTCAAAAAGGTCAATGGTCAAAAACATAGATAGTAAAGAACGTAGACTATGAACGTTCATTACAGATATTAGAGATTAGACTAATGCTATTACGTGCTATTACCCTTTGTAGATCTATTATCTATGGAATACCGTGGAGTGATGTCAAGAAGAAGAAGAAGAAGATAAGTTGACAATTGACGACGTGTCCTCAAGTTTTTTCATAAAATATTTTATAAAATTAATTAAAAAAATAAAAAAACTATTTAGCTGTAAATCATGGTTGACCAACCCTCTAAGAGTGATATTGAATCAGTTTTTCACAGACTTCGAGCAGTCCCTGCCAATAAGGTAAGATTTCGTTATGTCAATCTGGCCATACATTATTTAACTTATCGGATAATTTTTAGGAATGCTTTGATTGCAACGCAAAAAATCCTACTTGGGCTAGTATTACTTACGGAATTTTTATTTGCATTGACTGTTCAGCTGTACATCGAAGTCTAGGAGTGCATTTAACTTTTGTCAGGTCAACTCAACTGGATACAAACTGGACATGGATTCAATTAAGACAAATGCAAGTTGGGGGGAATGCTAATGCAGTAAGTTCTGTATATAAGTGATAATTTATCTATTTATTTATTAGTAATAATGTAATAATAGTACGGTAATTATATGCATGTATAGTACTGTTTATTGCATTTTTTAGAGACAGTTTTTCTCCCAACACAATTGTACTACTACTGATGCTCAGAAGAAGTATAATTCAAGAGCTGCTCAGTTATACCGTGAAAAGCTTCAACAAGCAGCAGTAAAAGCAATGAATAATAACTCAGGGGTAAATATATTTGTTTTATTATTTAGTTAATAACATTGTGACCGATTTATGTTACTTTATTGTAAAATAATGTTCTTACAATGCTATTCATGACAAATAGTAAAAATCTACTAACATGCTATTTCACAAAACTAATGTTTAGCTGCACATCCATGCCCATTCTGAAGAAAAGCATGATGAAGAAGTTGATAAAGAGGCCGACTTTTTTAGTGAGCATGAAAATTTTAGTTTACCAGAAGAACCAGTAAAGATATCTACAGTAAGTTATTTTTTTAGAAATAAGTGTATTCAAACAATGAAAATAATATAGAGTTTTTTAAAACATAATTGTTCATCAATGGTTATTATTACTTAGTCTTTAACTAGTAAAATTATCGCTACTACGACGAAAATAAATTTAAAAAATAGGGAGTTGATAGCACCCTTAATTTTACTATTAAGGACCACGTAATAATTTACTAATATTTAGTAAGCACAGAGAGTGACTGATAGAATAAATTGAACTGAACATCAAAGAGAACATTGGTTTAATCCTATCATTTGATGAGAGATGCGACCAATCAGGTGTTTGATTTTGAAGTTGCTCGCAAATAAATGTTACATTTTAATTTGTGAGAAATTTCAAACAATTTTATTTCACTTCAAATGTTTGTCATCAAGTGTAGGTCAACTCTATTCAATGTTTATTGGTTAAAAGGTATGTAATTACTTATTCAAACTGCAAAAATTAATGTGGCTAATCAAAATTTACTAAGTGTATAGACTTTTGTTTGCAAATAAATAATAAATGTATTAGGGCAAAGAAAATAAAATATTAAATTTATTGTTATTCAAGGAGAGTGATCTTTCATTTGCCAAGATTGAAACTCAACATCCCACAGAAGGTCCAAAAGTAGATTTTCACCTGACAGAATCCAAACCAACAGAAAGGGTATCAACAATAGGGGTCCGGAAAGTGCAACCAAAAAAATCTGGCGTAAGTGAGCTATTGATGCTTCATTTATTTAGCATTTATTTCTCTTAATTTTTATGATAAATATTAAATTACATTTTAAAATTAAGACGGATTCCAAATATTCCTATTTTGTTTCAGTTAGGAGCTAAAAGAAGTGGTCTCGGAGCCACAAAAGTGAAAACAAACTTTGCAGATATCGAAAAAGAAGCGGTTCTTGCAGAAGAAATTCGTCAACGCAACATCGAAGAAGTTGCTAAGGCTGAAGCTCTCTCTATAAAAGAAAAGGAAGAAAAAGAGGCTGCATTTCGTTTAGCATATAAAGATTTAAGTAACGAACAACATAGAAAAGAAGAGCAACTTAAGAAGGCGGATCCACGCAAGGCGGAGCAGGTTGAGCGTTTAGGAATGGGATTTAATACCAGATCGTATGTTTTAATAATCTTTTTAATAGGCTTCATGTGTATCAAAATATGTGTATAGTATAGTAGACTCGAATGTCTGAACCTAGAAAAAGTAACAGTTGTCTACATAACCGGTTTCTTGGCGTTAACGAATGTTGCATTTAATACATAATAAACATCTATAACTAGCAAAATACACATTTTTTTGTGTAAAGTGATTAATTTCTTTTATCACAGAGGCATCAGTCATTCTGTAATGAGCGACTTGAAAAGTATCGAACAGGAAAACGTAGAAAGTACCACAAACAGTTTGAATTCGCTAGGAAAACTTCGACTTTCTGACAACGATGGTTTTTTCGATTCTTTTTCTTATTCGTCAGGATTTAATATGAATAGGAATTCCAACGCAGCAAGTCCTGCTAGTCGAGGGTTGGAAGCTTTGCTGGCGTCTGACAATGAAAAATTGAAAGATTGGACAATCATCGACGACCCTGTGATTGATAAACCCAAAAGTTCGAAGTCATCGTATGGTTAGTCTAATTATTAAGTAAAATTGAGTCTTATTACGTAATTGTTTTCAAGAAATATGTGTAACTTGAAACATTTATATATTTTTAAGTTCCAATTGAAAAGAATCCCGTGAGGAACTCATATCCGGAATCATCGAGTTCTGACATGGCTCAAAAGAAATTCGGAAGTGCTAAAGGCATATCTTCAGATCAGTTTTTTGGAGACAGAGAAAATGACTACGAGGTTCAGGCAAATCTTAACAGGTTTCAGGGGTCTTCCAGTATTTCGTCGTCCGAATTCTTTGGTCATGGCTCTGGTAAAAAGTATTAGAAAAACAAATTTCATTTGTTAATTTATAAATTCTTTTGTTGTGCAGATAATGCGTCGTACAACAAATTTCAAACTCCTGATCTTGACGATGTCCGAGAAAGTGTTCGACAGGGAGTATCTAAAGTTGCAGGAAAGATTAGTTCTTTAGCTAATGGAGTTATGTCTTCAATACAGGTATGATTTTACGCAAAATAATATGCTTATATTGTTTCGGTTAATTAATTTTTATTTTTTGGTCTCATTTATTTTTCTGTTTGAAACATTTCCTATTAAAAAAAATACAACGTGTAATTATACACGCTACTGAAGTGAAACTTCTTCAAACACACAAACATACCGGAATAGGTGTTAAGGAATTGGTTTAATGGTATTATTTGTATACTATGAATTTAAATTTTACACTATACATGCCGGAGTTGCCTGTAACGAACGTTGCATTGAAGCGCGCTCACGGCTTAAGCGATCCCCACTACGAACTTGACTACGTGGCCGAGTAGAGGGGGGCATCCGTTGCGTGATTTCGTTACATAGCAACTCGCATGAAACGAACTTACCCTACCGTGCGTAAAGAAATTTCACTTCAAAAAATGATCTTTTTTTAAAAATGTTTAGGTGAATTTTTATTATTATCTTTTTATGACTCTAATTACTGTCAAATGAATGAATTATTACGTTCAGCTTGAAATACCTTGAAAGTATCTCTTTATCTTTTAGGAACGGTATGGTTACTAGTGGACAATAAATTAAATAAAATTTTGAAGACGGCCAGTTTATTGAAAGTTACATTTTAAAGAAATAATAATATGAAGACATATTACTGAATTCATTTTTTTTTGGTTGCTTGACTATGAAGTAGTAAACATGTGCCTTCAGTTCTTTTAATTCTTGACTGAATGGCAGATTGCAAAAGAAAGTATTTGTATCTATCATAATTTACCTAGAGTGAAAAATAAATATATTGTATTAAATTGAGAAAGGTGCATCTGCAGTAAGCATTCAAAATCATTCGTTAAGCTTACAAATTATTGTTTATTATAATTTCTTACGTAAGTACAAGGTGAAAAAGGTCTTTTTGTTTTGTCTAATATCACATTATATTGTTGTTTTAAATAAATAGCAATTACTATTACATATCTCACCTTTATTTGATTAATTTCACCTGCGCATAAGTTTTTATAAAAATGCACATAATATTTAATTAAAGAATACCAATAAAATAACTTAAAGGCAAACCTAATAAGAAATTAAAAATCTTGCTTGTATTTTGTCAAAACATAGAAAAAGTTAGTGTTCTGTCAACTATTCTTTTTACCATTACTCTACCTATCGATTTAATGATAAATTTTTTGCTTGAAAATATACTAAATAATTTTGCAATGCATATCTTTTTTGTCAAACACTTTATTGCATCTTTATTTGTTACAAGCTGATTTTCGTTATTTTGTCCTCGTAATTTACTATAAAAATGATACGCAGAGAAGTAGAAACAAAAAAACACGAATAATTTTGACCGTTAAGGCAATCGTTGTCATCCGCATGTATAAAAATTTTACCCACTTGATATTCATTAGGAATATATCATGAAATTATTATATGGACTGACACGAACCTAAGGAATTGCAAATTAGCAAACATAATGATAAAATTTGATCATTATTGTGGTTCTTTGAAGTGTTATTCTTAAAACTGTTATTTCATCCATTTAAATATACATAAAGCAAAAGAAGAGCAACTTAAGAAGGCGGATCCACGCAAGGCGGAGCAGGTTGAGCGTTTAGGAATGGGATTTAATACCAGATCGTATGTTTTAATAATCTTTTTAATAGGCTTCATGTGTATCAAAATATGTGTATAGTATAGTAGACTCGAATGTCTGAACNCACACAATGAATTCTGTACATACTGAAACAAATTTCAAACAATAATAAATAATTTGCACGGTAATGAAAGTGTGCCCTATTTTTAAAAAGAATAAATTAGTAGTTTAAAAAACTATTTCTAACTGTAACCATATTAAATGCTTGAGCACAAGTGTATAACATAGATGCATGTAATATAATACAAAATACTGTCTTTTTCATACTTGTCAACTACAATGTAACAGTAAGTACAAATATATCACACGATAAGAAAAAGGCAACAGAATTTCACACTGATTGTTCATGACAAGCACCAGTCAATACCGCTACTTTCGAAGTACATTTTTACTTTTAAAGGAAATATGATTAACAATAAGTCAGGTAAATCTTCTAAAAAAATGTTTTAATTTGTGTTGGTAAAATCTATATGATATTTGATACATTCGATTAGAAATAGAATTACAAAAAAACCGTAATAAAAGAAAAGTATGTACATAATATTCTGTTTTACATTCATTAACTGTTACTAAACTACGAAACCGAGATAAATACCACAGAGAGATCCTAAAGCACAGTTTTTAAAAGATTTTCATACCTTGTAACATTTAGTTTTTAATTTCCATTTCTAATCAAATACTTACAAAGTATGACCATTTTGTTATTAACAGTTTTTTTTATTACACAGGTACGATAATTGACACCAATTAATTAAAATAACATTGCTAATATAGACACGTCCTAAATTTCTGCATTATATATTTTTGTACGTCGCATCACAACTCACATACACAGATGATATGTAATGCAGCCAGTATGAAAATGCAATACCCATGATTTAATTACATATGAAAGATCAGTTAAGCTCCAAAATCAAACAAATTCATTTCTTATTTAAATATGTAGCTTAAAGGATCCTTAGTGAATGTAATAGGTATAAAACCGAAAACTAACCAACTACACATATTATTTTCAATTTTTAATATATTTCATAAGCACTGCTAGGAAACAATTCAAACAATATGAAAAAAACAATTTTAATTGCATAACGACATTAGAGAATAACAATCTTTTGATTTAGATATGGAATGTAATTTTTAATTGTTATAAAGCTACATAGTACTTGCTGAAAGTACAGTCTCAGTTACTATAATGTTACTCTAAACAGTCCCAATGTTTGATTTGTAATTGTCGTTAAATAAAAAAAAAAATAACGGAGGGAATTCGATGAAACTTTGAAAATAAATAAGACATTAATATTTAAAAAAAATCCTTGCAAAACTTTAAGGGCATTGGGAGAATAGTTTAAGACATTCATTAGTCAAATTTACATGCATTCTTATAAGAATGCACAATTTCCTGACGTGACAGGGCATTCTAAAGTGATATAACACAGACAATTTAATGAAAATTTGAGGATAAATTCGTTATTAATTTGTAAAGAGAACTATAAATATTCAGAATGATTGGGAACCGCGTTTTTTAATTAAAAAATCACATTTTAAAAAAGCTGGTGTTCACCCATATTCACAAGTGAATGCAAATAAAAAAAAATGTATTAGCAATCAAATTACTAATTAGATATTGTATCTGACGTAGTACGTAGATGGTAAAATGTAATGAATGTGATTAAGATGACCTAATAATTTTTTTAATTTTCTTAAATATTTTTTTATGCATTATAAGGCACCCAATGAAATAAATTATTTTACCGGTAGCTACAAGGTTTTCGCTTTAAAGTGTTGTTTAATTAAGTAGTATTTACAACCATGTTTTATTTAATTATAACATTTATGGAATAAAATAGTACGAATAATTTTTAGAAAGTTCAGATCAATTTCTACAGAAAACCCTGGACCAGGTTCAAAAAATTCGAGTATAAAGAATGGTTTGTACTTCCTATTATAAAATAATGGCACTTGCTATTTTTTGATCTTTCCTTAAAAATGCC